AGACAAGACCTACTAAAGTCTCCCTGTGCTGAGAGAATATCATGTTCATGGCTCCCATTCCTAAGCTCGGGAATCCCCAACCAATGGACCACAGCCTGCGACCAGTCCGTGGCCTATTCCCAACGGGGCTGTGTGAGTGACCTGGTGTATGCCCAGGCGCAAATGTGCAGTGCCCTGAGCGTCAGGGCTCACGGCTCCACTCATGCACGGCCTTCTACCACAAAACCATGCCCTCTTTTCCTCCTCCCCCCACCCCCGCTCTGGTCTGTCAATTTGGAAAGGCTAGAAAATTCTTCCTAAGCTTTCTCAGTTGGCAGCAACCTCTTTTGCAAATATCTTTCCCAAAACATTTCAGAGAATTTTAAAGGCTCTTTTGGAAGATATTTAGGAGAGAGATGAAATGCTGGGTTCTGGGATCATAGGATATTCTTTGTACCTCCATGTTTTTAAGTTGCACTACTGTAATAGATTGTTGATAATAATGGTGATTAATGGGTAACAACTAAACATTTTTTTATAATAACATAAATACTTTGGCTATATTGGTTGCACATTTACCAAAAAAGTTCTTTTCTGAGCTTATGATATGCTGACTTTTATGATATTACCAGAATAATAAATTTTAAAAAAAAAAAACCTTCCAATTTTTTTAACATGGGCGGTTTGTATTTTAAAGGCTTGTTTTTATATGTGTATTATTTTCATGTAATTATACTACATTGCCCAGATCATTTTGCATTAGATGGGCAACTCTATAAATTCATTTAATAAATAAATCCTAGGTCTCCAACTGGAACCTGAATTTCCAAAGAACACCAGTCAAGTACAAGATTTTGTTTGTTATTGGTATTGTGTTGTAGGAAATTGGATGGGGGGAGATGGTACAGGGACTTAAATTTTCCCAGAAAGGAAACACAATTCTTACCAGCTTCCTTTATTGTTTTCTGTTGCCTTAAACAAAATTTCTCTCAGCTTGCCTGAATGCCAGAAGCAAACCAAGGAAGTTTGTTACACAGAATGGTTTAATTGATGTACTTTCAAGTTCCTGGTTATTCAAGGAGCAGACACCACCACCCCAGAATCTCTCTTAAAACAATGAGAATCTGTGTTCAGGGTGACAAATTTTCTCTGTCCAGCTAGCATATTAAAGGCATCTCATGTTTCTCCACACCAAATGAAGATCACCAAGAAACTGGGTCCCACTGCCTCCACTTTTAGTATCACCATTCTAATCCAGATGATCCCCTGAAGACTTTAGTAGAAGCAAAAAATAAAAAGAATCATTTATAATTCTTCCCCCTCTGCCAGGCTACAAAGGAAAAGCTCTCCTGAAGAAAGGGAAATTGCTTTGCAGATCCATGGATGATCTGAAATTGGAAGCTTGGGCAGCTATTTATTTGAGAAGGTGTGAGGATTTCTGCTGTGAGGGGGACTTGGACTAAAGGTTCATACAATGCTGTGATTCTATCCTATTTTGTCCAGGGTCTCCTCAGACAAGCCAAATAGAATTCCTATAACAGCTCAAGATTGTAGGGTTACAAACCTTTTTCTATAGGTTATTTTCATTGGAATAATCAGTCCTTTACGTTTGCTGCAGAGGTGGAATTCATTTTTTTACTATTGGTTCTGTGGGCGTGGCTTGATGGGGATGGCTTGGCTTTGTGGGCGTGGCTTTGTGAGCATGGCAGGAGAAGGATACTGCAAAATTCCCACCCCATTAACCTGCTTTCCAGCTCTGTTCTGTTCAAGACAACAAAAGAAGATCAGCTGGGAGGCAGCAAGGGGCGGGGCTAGCCTGTTTGCTGGTTCTCCAAACTACTCACAATTTCAGCTACCAGTTCTCCAGAACCTGTCAGAACTGCCTGAATATCATCTCTGCTTTGCTGCCATATGCACAGTTTTGTTTCTAGGATATCTTTGGGAGAATTTGCAGAATAATTACAGAATTAACTCTGTTGCAACATCACAATCTCTTGGAAATTGACTGGATCATCCCAGGCACATATGGATACTGAGGAGGACAGAATTCCCCCAAGATGGGTGGGCAATTAATTTTCTCCAGGGGCTGCACAACAAACTGGAACTGAAACAATATAAACTGATTTGAAATCCTCAAACTCCATCACCTTAGCTCCTCAGGCTGCTTTAGGTGAGGGGTGAGTGCTACATAAAGGTAAAGGTATGTGCTAGTCGTTCCCGACTCTAAGGAGCGGTGCTCATCTCTGTTTCAAAGCCAAAGAGCCAGCTCTGTCCAAAGACGTTTCCGTGGTCATGTGGCTGGCATGACTAAACAACGAAGGTGCACAGAATGCTGTTACCTTCTCACCAAAGGTGGTTCCTATTTTTCTACTTGCATTTTTACATGCTTTCGAACTGCTAGGTTGGCAGAAGCTGGGACAAGTAACGGGAGCTCATTCTGTTACATGGTGCTGGGAATTCAAACAGCCGAATCGCCGACCTTTCTGATTGACAAGCTTAGCATCTTAGCCATTGAGCCACTATGTCCCTATGAGTGCTGCATAGGTGCAGAAAAAGGCTTTCTCTCCTTGCTCTCTTACAGCTGCCAGTCAATTGTAGGATCCCACTGGCACAGAGCCACACTCAGCTTGGCTTCTTCTTCTTCCCCCTGTGATGCACTTATTTACATTTGATTTCTAATTTCTGATTTACCTCATGCGGGCCAGACAGGGACAACCAGAGCTGGCTGTGTCCCAAGAGCCATAAAATAACCAGGTCTGCCCCAAGACATCATTCACACAAACATGCAGAAAGCATGGAAAGCTTTATCCTGTGTTCAGAATTAGAACTTGATGTTCGAGTCCATCTTCTCCTTTTGTGATGGTTTTACAATGGCCGCACATTGTTCCCTCTATTTAGCCATTTAACCTCATTAACGAGCTGGGATTCAGGAGCCCCTAAGACTCTCAAAAGCAGCCGTAGGATGATGTCCATTGCTAGCAAGAAATAAGTAATGAAACTCACAGTAATCCTTCATGTTTTTCCCATTTACTTGTATGCCCGTTATTAGCATAAATTCACAGAAAGAAAGACAGGATTGCAGCATTCTATCACTAAAGTGCTATAAATTCACCATTTTAATCTTTGGTGGAATCCAAAAAAGATTTAGAGTAGACTAATTCTCTTGCCTAGAATGAAAGCAGGAAACTTAGGAGGAGGAGGAGGAGGAGGAGGAGGAGGAGGAGGAGGAGGAGGAGGCGGCTTGCAGGGAGGGGTTCTCACCAAAAAGAATAATAAAACAAATGGAAGACTTTTGTAGAACTATAAAAAGCGGTGATATTTACTCTTTCCAGTCAAGATTTAGGATCCTTTAAATTTGATTTTATTCTCTCAAGAGAGCTATGAATATGTCTTGATTAGCCTTCTTCAAACTATTTTTACAATATCAATAGCAGTCATTTTGCAGACTAGTGAAAAAGAAATAATACAAATTCAGTACATATTTATTTTAATCTTGCTTTTATTATTTTATAATAATAACTCAGGTTGGCAAACATATCCAACAAATCCTTCTTCAATTTCCCCCACAAGAACAGCCCTGTGAAGTGAATTGGACTGAAGTCACACAGCTTCCTTTCATAGCTAAGGCAGGACCAGAACTCACAGTCTCCTGGTTTCTAGCATAGAACCTTAACCACTAGACCAAACTGGTTCTCCATTGCACTAATATGAAGAGAATTATCTAAACTGAACTGAACTGAACTGCACTAAACCTGCAAAGAAAAAGTGTTTCTGCAGGGGAACAAAGATGCTAACTTCACTTTGCTGATGCAACCATTAATGTTATATTTTCATCTCATTTAATTAATTAAAACATGATTATATATTTTATCTAGAACTTTAGAACATTGAAACAATTCCTCTTTTTTGTTTTTTCAATCCTTACTGTCTATTCTTTTTATTGAAAAGTCTTACTGAAAGAAACTTCAGATTCTGAAATTTTGTAAAAAATCACATCATAGTCTTTTGTGAGTATACTCATTACTACAGAAACTACTAATTCTGAACAAATTAACATACAATACTGGACATCAATACTTTTTTTGCTTTGCTTTTCTATCCCAAATTCGTAATACATATTATTTTTTTTTAGGTTGAGAGATTTCCTATTTTCCTATGCTTGCATTATCCACTCTGGCCAGCAGGAGGTGCAACATCTCCGTATAGTTGGTGTTCTGCATTTGTCAGATGGATCTGAATTATTTCTTCCAGTCATCATTGAGATTTTAAAGAACACTTGCGGGATTATAAGAATGATATTGTCAAATCAGATAGAATCACAATCATGTGACTGCAGATATGCTGTAAATGGCTACAAGTTCAACGGCTGGCTGCACGTCTCCTTTTTTTAGTACCCTCGTAAGTTTGAGTTACTGAACAAATGATTGGTAAATGAGTGCTACCTTAATGGAAATAAACATGCATTTAATCTCTTCTTCTCAAACATGCATATTAAAGAGAGTACATTTTAAATTAATATGCACCTAGCATAGAGATCTGGAAATACATTTACAGGAATCATGCTGAATATATGAAGAAGCAGCAAGCTTTTGTGACTGAGGAAGCATACTTGGTATGAATGGAAAACAGGAAGAACAATGACAAAAAGATTAGATAAGAACTTTTGATTTTTTTTTCCTTAGTCAGTTTGGGCTAAGCCTATTTTAGAGTCTTGCAAATATTTTGCATGAAATCTGACTATAAAAACAAGAATCCTTGAACTTTCAGCACTGGAATTCACTGCATAAGGTTCAGAGACTACTAGCTATGTTAACCATAATTCCTGGCTTCTGATTTAGTAATTAGGGCAGGGATGGCAAACCTTTTAGGCATTGAGTGCCCAGGCTGCGTGCACATGCATGCCCAATCGGAAAGGGACGCACATGAATGTGTGCACATGAAGATATGCACGGACATGCACACATGCACAGCAGAGATCCGAAGACCAGCTGGCCAGCGGGAAGGCAGGGCATCCCAACAATGGCAGCAAGAGGTAAGATTTTTTTTTCTTTTGTGAGCTTCTGTTTTGTCATTTGCAGGGAAACAGAAGCTCATGAAGGAAACGACATGGTGATCTGACATGTGGGGCAATGATGCACCTGCACACAGAAAGGGCTCTGTGGGCCACCTCTCGCACACATACCACAGGTTCACCATCACGGAATTAGGAGAATGAGCTAGATGTCCTCATCCTTCTTTCAATGTTCACATGTGCAAATGAATGTCTGCATGGGATATAACCTACATTTTATCAACTATTCGTTTATTTATTTTGTGTAAACAAAATGTCAGAGAAATCTATATATGCTACATAGGCAAGGCAATCCTGACATGGAGAATACTATTTCATTCTGTTCAGTACGTACACACTGTCCTTGGTGCACTGCTGAGTGCAAATTAGCTTTATACCAATTAACTAGTGGCACTTGGGTTGCTTTCTTTTCTGGGCTCCTCATTCGGTCTTGCCTCATCTTGTTTGGTGATCCCTCATATCCAACCATGTCCAGTGCTGGCTTCCCTCTTCACACACATGATCAGAGTTAAATTTTTCCCACCAAAGTGGGAAGATAGATAATCCAGATAGATTAGCATTTTCAGTTAGCTCCAAAATTTAGCTCACCAAACTGAATATGGATTTTTTTTTTAACATCAACCGATCTCAGATGGTAATTGTGAACTTGAAATGGGGGTTTGGAAGAACCTGATCATACAAGAAGGACAAAAGGAGGAGGAAGGGGAAGGGCTTAAATTGTTGACTTGTAACTTGATTAACACTTCCATTTCTCCCTTCCTAAGCCACTTCTATACTGCTTCCACTTCTTTCCTCTTCCACCAAGGATCTTCTGTTTGTGAACCCAAGAGAAACATCCATCCCTATGACTCAGCTCCTTCTGAAGAAGCAGCCGAAGCTAGTCCAAGAATGCAATGAGTCACTTCAAGGTGGTGAGCCAATTTTTGACAAGTTTCACCTCATTATTGGAATCCCAACTGCAAGATGAGGCTGAAGGTTTTCTGAAAAAGCACATCCATCATTACCAAACAGTTTGCTTTAAAGCCATTTTGCTAAGCAGTGGTAATTTACCACTGGGAATATGGGAGGTGCAAGCACCTTTGCAGTGTTTGAGAAAGAATGGGAGGCTACTGTGAGGAAGAACATTAGGAAACTCTCAGGCTCAGAAGGCTGAGAATGAGGTTAAAAATATTGCAAGGTTGAGGGGGGGAGTCTTTTTCTCAGATACATCTTAAGGGTTGGAAAAATCTGAAGTCTATAACTTCTTCTGCTTTAGCTCTCTGTTTTTGGTCACAGATATCAACGGATAGGTTACACATGAATTTCTCTATCCTAAAAACTATGAAAAAAGTCAATCCTGTATTATAGCACCATTAAGGAATAACAACAAAATGACATACTTGCCAGCATCAATATTTTGATTTGCTGGTAATGATAAAAACTAGGGCAGCATGCTCTCTAGTGGTAAAGAAAGACATAATGCTTTCACTGTGTCTCACCTTCCTTTCTTGGATACACCCTTAATGAATTGCCCATTCTTTTTCATTACATGTGTCTTTGTCCTAACACCTATCCTAATGTAATAAGCCCAATGGAGGGAAGTGGGCAATGCCATCCTTGGCTGGGTACTAGAATCAAGATTGACATGGAACTACTTGCTCACATCCATTGTATTTCCACTCTGGGATTGCTTTGGGTACAAAACTAAAGCAGTACGTAGTGGGCGTAGCTGTCATATCTTAAATTACACCGTAAGAAGCTCCTTTATTCTTTGTGCAAAAGAAATGAAATATGAAATCAAGAAATTGGAAAAATTCTAAAAGTGTGGGATTTGGTTCTCCTAGCTCTCTCTCTCTCTCTCTGTATGTACCTCTTTTCATCTTTTTTCAAATAGTCAATGAAGTTCAAATGGCACTACTGATTTTTGCCAGTTACCTAAAGATTCAGTTTTTCAGTTAGAGAATATGGGGTAAATTATGCAGTTCCCAACTCTGCTTGCACCATGGTGTGCTAAGAAATTTATACTGACTTAAGAAATCAAAACCTCTTATCTCGTCCTCAAGGAAGTTCACCTTCACATAGATTATATGTAGCTCAGGATGGAATTGTGGACTTCTTTGTGCTCTCTGAGCTTGGTTGTTTGCTACAGATTTTTCAATGTGCTATTGCTAAATAATGTTATCTAGTTGGGTAATGAAACATCTGCAAGCAAATAATCAAGCTCAGAAAGTACTAAGGATTCTACAAGTCTTTTTTCCTTTATACTCTCAGCGAACTATTTCATTGTGTCCCCCCTCAAAAAAAGAAGACATCTCTTTCTAAGTTTTCAAATGCATCTGTTTTCTCCAATACATTCACTATCTTAATTTGCATGATTGCTAATGACTTGTATAATGTTTCCAGAAATTAATTAATTTAACTTTTTGGCTTGGATTTTCTACATCTCCTTTTCACAGACTACAGATCCAAACTTTCACTGTTGTAGGTCTAACCACCAATTTATCACTCTCTCCCACAACATGCTTTTGCAAGATCCAAACTGATTTCTTTGGAACATGCAAAAGAACATCAGGTTTTCTGGGATCTCTGCCCATTTCAGTACTGCAGCCTCAGGTGTCCTATAAACTTAATTACTGAGAACAGAATCCAGATGTTGAGCAGGCTGTAGTCAAAACAAGTCTTTTGGCAAGATACCAGAGCAGGCTAGAAGGAGGATTTTCATCTTCAGATTTTTACTTTAGAACTTGGACCATGTCACTGTCCAGACAGATGCTGTAGAAACAGTTTAATGATTGGGTAGATGTATAGGGGTGGGATTTGGCCCAGAAAGGATGGCCTTAAAAGCCTTTATATTGTTAACAGTTTTACTGGTCTCTCAATTGCCCATATTTGGAAAAGAGACTTTCATTTTATTTATTTTTTTTAAAGCAGGATAATTGCTATCACTTTTGGGAACCTTTTCTCTGAACCTTACAATACTTGGTCCCATCTGCCAGAAACTTCCAATTGGATGTGTCTTCTCTGATCATTCTTAAATGTTTTCTCCATTTCGTTTTAAATCGTCTGTTACCTGTAGTTTGAAATATTACAAATCCTTTGTTGGATTTGTATCAAGGACTGGGAAATGGATAAAGCAGGAACATGGCTTAGATGAGCCATTCTTCCAGTTCTGCCAATACACGTTACCTCATTTTTATTAATTGAGGCAGGGAGATTAGCCTGGAACACTACTATAATCTCTATAGCCTCCTCCATTTTTTTCTTTCCTGCTGGGCTGCTGAAGAGGAGCAATCATCTAGAAGAGATGGGGTTTATTTATGGTATGTTCCCAATGCAATTTTTGATTTGGGACATTGAAATGGCAGGCAAGACCCATGGCCAGTGATATTGTTGTTGGTGAAACAAACCAACATCAGGTTTCCTGGAAGAGCAGGGATGTTGGTGATTAGTAGGATAGGGCAATGGCAATTATCTAGTTGTATTGGATCTCAGAAAAGCAAGGCCTGAGAAATGGGTATCTTTATTGAGAGTTGTGTTCTCTGAGGAATAATTTGGTGCAGGCTGCATGCTAAAGGTAGGAAAACAGAGTAATGAAATACATTAATAATTGGGAATTCAGTCTACATGAAGATCCAAGTGGCCTCTAGAGTAGAAGCATGGGAAAAGCCACTAGCTGCCTTGGATCTCAAACACGACGTATTTTCATCTCACTTCTCTTGAGGGAATAGTAGAAGCCTTTCCACTGGTACCAGTTAATGCCGTTGGCATAAGACAGATGTCGTCCACCAAGGTAGAAGCCATTGAGGTTGGAAAAATGGCAGCTCTTGAACCACCAGGCACCTGATGACAGAGCTGCACAGTTCTGCACATAGAGATCTTGGTCACGGTCAAATGTGGAGAACTTCTGGCCACTGTGATAGGACAATGAATCACCTGGTGGGAACATCAAGCGAAATAATGGTAACAATGAGACTTCATGAGGCTGGTAAGAATAAGGAGTAGTGTCCTTGCTTGTATATTTGAAATTAGATCCATTGGAGCCTAAGTATAGGGATAGCTGGCACTGGAATGTTTTCATGCACATCTCATAACTTATGTTTCAAGATTGGACAAAACATGCTGTAAAAATCTTTTAAATGACTTCTAATTTCCCCATAATATACTCTGATTCCATATACCAAGGTAAGTGTCCTTGCTTGTATATTTGAGAGTAGATCCATTGGAGCCTAAATAAATCATCTGTCTTAGGGGGAAAAATATTGCTTGCTGCTGTAAACATCTTCTTAACTCACGTGTGTGTTTATGCTAGTATTTGGACACCCCTGGCCCAGAAGGGTTTTGGAAAATATAGACCCAATAAATCAGAAGGACAGCAAATTGTGGGTGACTGATCTATATACTAGGCTGAAGTCAAACATTATCTTAGTATTCATGATAATACACAGATCCAAATTGATCCTACCTAAATGCCTGATTACCATGTTTGAAATTATTTAAAGACTATGCTTTCCAACTTTTTTTAAAAAAAGACAGCTGCAAATGTGTGGCAACTTTCTTATTGTAAATAGGGTTTCTTGCCCTCGTTTTGAGACTCAGTCTTACTCTATTTGATACTCATGGGATTGGGAACCTAAGGCCTCTTACCTGCCCCTCCATCAGTAAACCCAGATACATGGAGCGTGTAGCCATCCTCTTCTGCACTGATTGCATTTGGGGAAAGGGAGAAGTCAGCATATTTGGCAAAGGCGGTATTATTATCAAAGTCATCCATTTCCACACGTAGCTCATACTTCTGCTTCAGGGTGAGAAGGTGGATATTTTGCAGTCCTAGACCAGATGGGAATTCTAAAATCATTTGTGGTGCCTTGGGAAGAAGTCCATTTAAGACCTCCATTTATTTTCCTACCCTTTGGGGATGACCCCCCATTCTCTTAACCAAAAAGTACTGGCCAGACAGAAAAGCAAGACAATTCTTGGCTGAGCTTGCTGGCCTAGACTCATAATAAACAGAGCAATTGCACTTCATGATGTAGTTTTCTGGCCCAGGTTTCAGCTGCTTAGGGGAGAAACCCAAACATTTTGCATTCCAAACGTTTCTGGCAAAAGGAGATGTCTGGACCAAGAGATGCATAAAATTTTGAGATTGGAGAGAAGCCAGTGAGGGAAAGGGTGGGAAAAATCAAGGACTTTTGGCAAAGGCTCCTCAGAGAGGAGGAGGAAAAGGAGAGAGAAAAGGAGGAGTAGGAGAAATTTTCTTTATCCCTTCATATTTACCCAGCCAATATTCGCCATCTGCTTTGCCAAAGCCAAACTTGTAGTCATTCCATCCCCGAAAGAAACTGATTGACCCATTGAAGCGTTTCTGGAAAACCTGCAAAGTATAAGAGTTTTGAGGAAAAACAATTGTTAAATTAACATCAATTTGTCAACAGTTACCCTGAAGCTGTATTCCTGTCAACACCATGAAAAGGAAGATTATACATTATGCTAAAACATGTTTAATTGGATAAGCCAAAATAATTCATACACTGTACTAAGCCTTACTCTTAACAGCCTGGGTTTAAGCATACACACAAATCCTCCTCCTCCTCCTATTTTAAATGTATATTTGCTTGTTTGATGTCTGGTCTTTATATTCTACTTTTTCATGCTGGACACCATCTCACTTCTACATTGGCTAACAAGACAAGGAAAAGTACAAGGAATTGGTTATATCTGTAGTTCTTTTGTGATTTTTGTGGCCTACATCAGAGGTGGGTTCCTCCTGGTCCAGTCCAGTATGCTAGAAGAGGTAGTGAAAATCTGGTGTACCGGATATGTGACATGGCCATGCCCCCAAACCTGTTCTCCCATCAGAAGCTTTTTTTAAAAAAGTTTTTTCCTCTGCTGGTTCAGGCAAGAGGAAAGAGGCTTTAAAAAATAAGAGAGGGAGGGAGAGAGAAAGGGAAAGAGGAAGGGAAGGGAGAAAGAAAGAAAAATAAAAAGAAAGAAAGAAAGAAGGAAACTCACTTTTCAGCATGGAGATTCAGTAAAGGAGAAAAACAAATGCTATCACTTTAAATCAGAACTGAGCATGCCTGGCTGTGGAATTCTTGGAGTTGAAGTCTACAAGTCTTAAAGCTGAAAACTTTGGAGTCTCCTTTAAATTGAAAAGCTGCTCAGAAGAAAATTTGCAAAGTGATATTTAGCAGTTTGTTTCTGGGTCAGCTGAGCAACAAACTGGATATAAGGAAGGATTCTTATATGTTTCTCTGAGGTTTTGGGGTTTGTGCAATATAGGCTTTGTGTTTGAATGATTCCCTGTGAATGGAGCCAAACTTTCTGTAGCTTATTATCTCAATCTGGCAGGAATGTGGAATGAGCTTCAGGCAGGTTTCTTTGTTAGCAGCTTGATTTTTCCTTTTCTGGGAGTAATACTTTATTTGGGTGGAGGGGTTGCTTCCCACAGAGGGAAGGGAGAAAGAAAGAAAGAAAGAAAGAAAGAAAGAAAGAAAGAAAGAAAGAAAGAAAGAAAGAAAGAAAGAAAGAAAGAAAGAAAGAAAGAAAGAAAGAAAGAAAAAAAGAAAGAAAGAAAGAAAGAAAGAGCACAGTAATTTAGAGCTAGAAGGCTACTCAGGGGTCATCTAGTCCAACCCTCTGCTACAGCAGGAAGCCTTACATTGTCTGGATTATTTTGGTGCCTCTAACAGAAAGGAAAATTGCCAGAAAGGAGAAGGAATTTACTAGGACATGGCTGCCATGCAGTGAAAGGCAAAGATAGTCCTTGAATTATGACTACAATTGAGCCCAAAATTTTGATTGGTAAGCAAGAGCGTTGTTAAGTGATCTTCACCACATTTTACCCAATCCATGACATCTCCTGGTGAGTGACATCAAGTTGGCCATGCTCACCCAGTCATATGACCATCAAGCCATACCCACAAAATAGGCCATGTCCACAGAATAGGTAGTAAAAAGTTTTGAAACCCACCCCTGGCCTACATCCATAAACAGGAAGACACCACACAAAATGTGTATTTCTGGTTAATCCTAAATGTTCTGATGTTCAAATTAAGGAGTGAAAAGATTCACATGAGACACAGATACCTTGGCCCCATGAAAAAGAGTAATGGAGGATCTGGATTGGAAATATCCAGGATCATAACACCATTTGACATTAGAGCTCAATTATTATTATTATTTTTGCCGATTCCTCTTCTAGTCCAATTTACTTGAGAAGGGTCTGTAGCGATAAAATGGCACACCCTTCCATATTTGTTATCTTGAACTCCCAGGGGGAAAATGCTTGTAAGATAAATACTACAACTTTTTTAAGGCTTTATGTAGAGCAATATCAGCACCATCAATGATAGTGAAACTACAACTGTAGAACAGGCTGAAATCAAAGAAATCAAGATTATGAGAACTTCCACCAAACTAGCACTAGTCAGCCACTACTAATATAATCCAGTTCTAGGATCTCTTGTGCTTCCATAGGATACACTTTCCCATCTTGGATCCATTGCAGGGATTTCATTACCGTCCACTTTCCATCATCAGTGGTCATGTCACAGTACACGGGGACAGGGACACTGGGTCCTGCTGGATAGATAAGGTACACGCCATCTGTCTCTGAACCTTGATCGTATATGTCCTCACAGTCAAGTGGAAAGGAATCTTCTCCGCAGGGTTGAGATTGCTGAGCTGTCCCAGTGGGAGGAAAAACAGATTACTTTAAATTTAAATAACCCATCAAGCATATGACATTACTTTGACTTCTGACTGATCATTTTGCTTTAAAGCAGAGAGTTAGTAGTCCAAGACAATAATTATAAAGCTATTGCTGTTATTATTTTACAAATATATTACAAATAATTATTTTATTCAAAATTACCTTCTACTTGGGCAAATGTGACATTTCTGAGAATAGCTAAGAAATAAATAAAAACATTATATTTTATTAATTTAAATATTATTTTTTCCCCTTCAAACTTCATATTAAAATTTATATAGACATTTTTGTACATTTTTGTCCAAATTTAGACACATTTTTGATATTCACCCAATGTAAACAGATTTTATAAATTATTATTATTATTATTATTTGGGGGGGAATATTACTTTAATATTACTTTAACTTCAATGCAGTCTTTGCTGTCATTTGCAGTACATATATATTAATTTTGGAGATTTGGGGACAACTGTAAAATTTTGGAAGTGCTAACTTTTAATGTGCAATGCAGGTTTGTTACCCCAAAAATATATAATTAGATTGTTTTGTCATTCACAAACAATCTGAATGAATTTGTATGTGATCTGCTTGAGATTTGTTCAGGGGAGGTTAATGATTACTTTTAGATAGCTTGAACCTATAAAGGGACAACAATTTTCCTTTCTGGATAGTTTTCAAATGTATACTTATTTCTCTTTATTCCTCAATGAAACAGGTGTTTATAGGTTGTGGAGATTGTGCATATATGCCTGTAACTAAAAGATACCAAGCATGAAAAAGACTTAACAGTCATATAAGCAAGCACCTTCTAGCCAAGAATCCCATTAAGGAATTGTTTTAGTTATTATCTCTGTCAAAAGCCACTCTTGAGGGAGTGCAGGGATAGCAAGAGGTGATATATTGTAGTAGCTGCCATTAACTAAGACTTTTCTAGACATTCTTCCATAATAGGAAGCTATTTGTTCAGCCTCCCACTACAATTTAAACAATATGTGTGGAGGAAAAAATACAGATATAAAATTGTTAAAGAGACATCCAGTCTAGAACTAAGGAGAAATTTCCTGAAAATGAGAATAAATAATTGATGGAATGGCTTACCTCTGGAAGCTATGGGTGCTCCATCACTGAAGATTTTCAAGAAGAGATTGGACAGCCATTTGTCCACAATGATACAGGCTTTCCTGCTTAAGCAGGGGGTAGGACTAGTCACTAGAGACTTCCAAGGTCCCTTTCAACCCCATTATTCTATGTTCCATGAAATATTCTGCCTATTATAGTAGGATCATCTGACATTACTTGAGACTCACAAACATATAGTAATTTCATTCTCTAACAAATAACATTACTAACAGAATGGTTATTGGGAAAGAAAACAGTGGACAGCAATATCTCAAAAGAGCAGGCTGGTCAGTCGTAAACCTGTAATATTTTGTTACAAAGGAAGGAGTGTGATAAAATGCCACTAAGGCTAGATGTTGTCAACTTCATTCAACTTCTATTGTTCTTCCAATGATATATATATATATATAAAATGTTGTAAATGTTGTAGTAAAAATGTTGGGTTTCTGTCGTGATGGACTCTTGTGACGAGCCGAAGGACAGATGATGGAAGCAGTTAGCTTCCTCCCATAATATATATATATATACTTAAAGTCACAACCCCTG